GCTTTATACCACGAACTCCCTATTGATTTTCAGGTGAATAGTAAAAGCTATTGCCTTTGATGGAGATAAACATAAAATGCCCTGGCTACCTGAAAAAATACCTTTCATCTTTAGGTACAGCTTGGAATCATCTTCAACACAAAACCAATCAGATTTCGAAGAGAAACAGGAGACGTACCTCAACTGAAGGACTGCCCTACACCTCTGCAGCCTTCAAGCTCTCGTTGACAGCGTCAGCTTCCACTGTGCTTTGCTCAGTACTCTACCAACTTATCGTATTAATAGTTACACGAGATAGGGACTAGAATTTATTAGGGCAAGCATTTTATTAGGGACAAATTGAAATGATGTAATCTTGTGGTAGGGAAATCAAGCTAAAATGTGTTGACTGAGCTCTCTGTTACAAATTCTATGCATTTTTGTAATACCTTGAGTACATGCAACTTAGTAAAGGTGCCAAAAAAAGTAAAGGTACACTAAAAATCACATGGACAAGCAAGAAAAAGATCGAGATCACAGCAGTGCAGAAGCAGTGGAGATATCATTGGCTTGCCTCTCGAACACAGACGCATGCTGTGCAAGCAGCAGTCACAGATCACATCGCTTTAACCGAGGTAATCTTTTTTAATTCTTTGCCTTGAAGGGCAATTGAACACAGTCAGAGGAGAGGACGGAAACCAAGCCAAGTCGTAATATTGCCAAAAGCACAGGTTTTTCCCTTAAGTGCAATATGCAGAGTTCCCAGTGCGGATGTGCAAGGCCTCCACGCTGCTTTGTAAGGGGCTCTGGTTGGCAGCAGTTCCCCTGTGCTGTCACCAGCTTCATCTTCAGACTCTCATAACTCACATCAACATTTATGTGCCACTGATCAAGCCAGATCCCATTGCTGTACATTCAGGTAAATTTATAATCAAGTTCAAGAGGGAAGAAGGTCAATGGCACCAGGAAAATACACGTGTCAACGCAGGCAGACAGCACTTCTTCAGCTCAACCACACAATGAAATGATACAGGAATTCAAAAGGTAACTATTGCTTTGCACCTATTGTATGGCAAACGTTAGTGTTCTTAGTGTTAACCAAACACAGAGTAATTGGAACTTGCATTACTTTTTACAGTGTTATCAGTAAATTACCACTTCTCCAAAATTTTACATTAAAAAGAAAGCAGAAATCACTTCAAAGTGGTCTGAATTTCATGCAGTAAGCAGCCTCTTGGGATTTTATACAACAAAGTAACATGTGAAAATCTAATCTGAATGAAAGAAGAAAATGAACATGCCAAGATCAGTTTCATTACACACGCCTGATGTGCAACATGTGAAATCAAATAGATTTGCCTATTGATGCATCCGTCACCCAGGAACAAATGGCTGCTTGGCTATTTCTCCAATAAACCAAAAAGCCCAGCCCAAGAGAATACTGCTTCACTTTCCTCAATAACACAGTTCCATTCACTCTGCCACTTCCTCACTCCAGGGAATCATTTTTATCTGACTACAAAAAGAGAAATCCATCATCCAGTAAGAGGAATTAGCCCACTTCATTTCACTTTCCTAGGATACTGCCACAAATACTCAAATAGACAGAAAAGTAATGGGTTTGATAGGAAGGCAAGGGCTTGGTACCATCGACCCTGCTCCAAGTTATTACACGCATTACTTTAAATTTTAAGAAAGGAATGGCTGATTTTGTTTCTTTGGAGGCAGGTATGCATCTTTTAGTCTTCCTAAATAGTAAGCCAAGATTACAAATTTTTTATTCCATCATGGTGATCAGCATGGGAAATCATTTTAAAAGCTGAAATATAGCTCACGAAATGCATTTAAAAAACTCAAACCCCACTACTTGTCACATGCAGCTTGTGATAAATATTAAGGACAATAATTCTGAGTATAAAGCATTATTCAAAACAGTTCAATCTGATCTTAAATTCTCCATCTTCAACTACAGTTAAGGACACATCTCAGAAACATCTTGGCAAAATGACAAAGCCAAGTATTAGAGTTGGTTGAGAACTAGGGATTCTCAAACATTTTGACCAAAATGCACTTGTGCAAGTATTACCAGCTTTTCCAAATAGACATCATGTCTGCCTTCTGCAGTGTGCCATGAGGGCTTAATCCTTCAGCAGTCAAACTGGGCACATGTCAAAATAAACTGCCCTCTTTTGACCCATTTTGCTTATTTTTCTTCCCACTGAGCCTATAGCCAGGGGAACACAATGATGTATATCACAGTCTCACCCTATGTACCTACATCAGGTGCTAGAAAAAAATTTCTGCATCTATTCCTTCATTATTTTAGATAAAGTTATAACCAGTCAGACCCTATCTGCCAGAAAAGCAGGATCAAAGCTGGGCTCTCACGGAATGGCTGGAGCCAATGTCGGCCCAGCCATTCACCCCCACCATGTCCATCTATCTTCCCCAAGAGTACGTCATAGCAGTAATGCTCTTTCTTCTTTGAGGATACCATGTAGGCCAGAGATTCCTGAATTTCTCATGGGGACAGAAGAGGCAACAGGGATACATTACCTCAACCAACAACTCCTTTTGAAATAGCAGATACCCCCTGTAGTCTTTTCCCTGTTCTTAAAGAACAACCTGCTCCAGCTGTGAAGTAATTCAACTGTGTCTCTAGTTCAAGAAGCAGAAATCTGGATTGGAGGTGCTGAATCTGGATAGTGCTGTGTAATAAGGGGATTATTCAATTCTCATCAGTAAAAAAAAGTAGGCCAAACAAAATTAAGCAGGTGAAGGAATATTACTGTAAGATTAGGAATACTCTCTGCAGATGCATTCTTATCCACACTCTAGTTATACACATTTTTTTCAAAATACATTTTAAAGACCTTGCAAAAATGTTACAAAGCAGCAGAAGAAAGTTATACATAATTGTTACAATTCACACTACTTATCCAGAGCTTGCTATTTATAACGGAGAATGCAGAGAGATCAGTAATTTTGATTTATTATTCAATTACCATTAAAATCATTGAAGTATTTCTTACAAATCTACAGCTCTACTAAAATAAATGAGTACTTCCAAACAACCTATGTTTCATAACACATTCACAAATCACCACTGAATGAAATAGCTTCACAGAAGAATTTTGCTTTGTTTTTAACTTTCAGTCTGTTCCACTGATTGACGGGACATCTAGCAGCCTTGTTGCCTTAGTTCAATCTTATCGAAAGTCAAGGCATATGGGATAACTATCACCAGATACATGCTGTGATTTTACCAAAGGGTTTTAGTAATAAGGTGCAAACTGAAATCTATACCATTTTCTCATATTATGTAGACCCCAATAAAAAGCTTACCTGCATATAATGTCTGGAACTTAGGGTGATGCATAACTGAATCATTAACAATGCAACATAACTGCATCTTCTTGAACAAAGTTGCCAGTGAAAGACAACAGATGCAATGGCATGGCAGAAGTGTAAACACTTCCACATTTTGAATATGCTTTTATTCATAACACCTGTCATTATGCTCACCAATCTTAAAGTTATGAGATACGAAGACACTTCTCATTCTGATTTATTAGAAATATTCAGTGAAAAAAATAATTTTCAATACCTACATAACTTAACGACCCTGGAAAGCGTTAACACGTATCCCCTTGTTTCAGTCGTTATTGTCCCATGACTGTCGTTATATTCTCTCTGCTGAGAATGGTAGAGTTGCCTCATCTATCGTTCACTAGACAAAGTTTTTAAATATAAAGATATTGCATGTACCCAAACCCTCTCTCAGAACTGCTTTATTATTATTGAAAATTTGATTATGAAAACTTTACTAAATATATTTCATAGATTTCATAGATTTCTAGGTTGGAAAAGACCTTAGAGATCATCCAGTCCAACCGTCCCTAATCCCCATTAAACCATATCGCTAAGTAGATCATCCACCCTATTCTTAAACACATCCAGGGACGGGGACTCAACCACCTCCCTGGGCAGCCTATTCCAGTGGCTGACAACCCTTTCAGAGAAGAAATACTTCCTAACATCCAACCTGAATCTCCCCTGACTAAGCTTATACCCATTTCCTCTTGTCCTATCACCCATCACTAATGGAAAGAGCCCTTCCCCTACCTCCCCACCATCCCTTCTCAAGTATTTGTAGGCTGTAATCAGGTCTCCCCTCAGCCTCCTCTTCTCCAGGCTAAACAGCCCCAACTCCCTCAGCCACTCCCCATAAGTTTTATTTTCCAGCCCCTTGACCAGTTTAGTCGCCCTTCTTTGGACTCGCTCCAGGAGCTCAATATCTCTCTTAAAGCGAGGGGCCCAAAACTGGACACAATATTCCAGGTGCAGCCTCACCAGTGCCGAGTACGAATGAACTTGCACAAGACACTGCTTGACAAAAGATAACTTAACTGAAGCACTAGCTCAAGAAGTATATTTTAAGTGTGTTTACTGAGTCCTTTTGTACAATATAGAAGCACTTAGAAGAGCATTGGGGATAAAAAAGTTGCAACAAGTAACATTAAGCAGCTGAAAAAAATACTTGACATGTAGACAGTAGATTATTTTGAGGTGGAGTAGTTGCAACAATTATAAATAAACTCTGGTAAACAAACTAAATTTACAGCAGTCCAAAATTCCATTCATTCCCTTCATGTTATTTTAGTCAAGCTTTTTAATAACAACAAACAAAAGACTAACAGCTTATTGCATATATTCATCATTGATCTCAGTATATCAGAAAAATCTACTTGAAAGTATATTGTGCTTTTACCCCTAGAAATTAATTTGGTGTGGTATTTAGAAAGTAGTACAACACTAAAGATGGGAGCTCATCTTGTTCTGACGAGAAGGTAATGTGTTACCTATGCAGTATAGTCTCAACCTCTTTCACTAGAGCATGTGGCAGTCAGTAGCACTTTGCATTCATTCATGAGCATCTACGTACATGTGCAGCAACATCAGTTAATATTTTCTGCTTATTTTCATTTACACACAAACTTAAATGAAAAAACACAACTTACTTGCTTTTCCCTTTGTAAACTGTAGCATAGGACCCTTCCCCTAGTTTTTCCAGTTTTTCATATGAGTCTGCTTTTCCAAACTTGGGGCTTGTAGGCTAAAAAAAAAAAAAAAACCCAATCAAAAAAAGGTGACCTTCCAGCATGTATTGCACTTGCAACATTAACTGCTTTGATTCAGCCTTTAGAGACCAAACGTCAATATCAAAACTCGTAGAACTTCATGTTTTCAGCAGCCAACAATTAAAAAAATAATTAATAGCAGAACTAATGCAACAATATAATAGACTACTCAAAACATCATTCAACACCCCAGATGGTGGTTGCCGATATCAATCATACACTTATATCACCGGAACTATCAAAAGGATTTTGTTCTTAATCAAAGAGATGTCTCTGGTTTATTTTTCACATATATCACTTCATACAGGGAAAAAGATCATTAACAACTAAGTCATTTTATCTTTGTTAAAAGATCTAAGCAACAGTCTTAATCTGCTCTAAAAACTCAGATTAAAAGAGCTGCTGAATTTATTTTTTTATTTTTTAGACTAAATCCCACCCAAAAACATTGCTCTAAGTAGTCAATGTCCCAGTACATCAACCATTGTCCAGACAGTGGTCAAAATAGTACAGGAAAGTATCTTTAATGAGAGTATCTTGATTCTGAATTATGTTTGCAGTCTTCAGACTGTGGGTATAATCACACCATACTCTTAGTGGTATGTATTTGCAGCATAGTTAAATCAAGTCCTGCAGCCTTCTTACCTGCTGCTTAAATGACGGGACTAAAACTGAACCGAGCTAAGCAATGATTCTTGCTCAAACAGCCAGATAGCTCAGCTGGCTTTTAGGACAGACTGGTACTTGCCCCACTTTTACACAGTCCTAACAGAGAACACCACAATGCTGCAAAACTAGAAATTCGCCTGACATGAAAACTTTCTAATGAAGTGCTTGGAAACTGTTTGAGTTTTTTGAAGTGCATCCTACTTTCCCAAATGTCCCCATTTTCCATTTGTCTAGAAGGAAAGGGCTTTTTATTTCTCCCCGAAGAGGAGAAGGACACTGCAAAAAAATGACCCGCAGCTGCCCTCAGCATTATCTACATATATCTTACACTGCAGTGCTCAGATGTCCTGTACCTAAACCAATCCAAAATGTATAGAGCAGAAACTTTGGAGAGTTACCCACCAGTGCTCAAATCACACACAGGGCCTCATTTGTTACTACTCTGGTTATGACACTAGAAATAAAAGCAGCGAAGTAAATCCAGTATGTTTAGGGTTGAATTGAACTCGGAGACTCTAAGCCATGCACAGCTGCACACAGTGTACGCTCACATTTAGGATATTACACCTCATTTAAAAAAAAAAGTACTTAACTTCCAGGTTTTTTTGAAAGGAAACAAACAGTACAGGACACATCTGTATGGAAATTCCTTTAAAACCATGGCCGAAAGTTTTAAATCGATTGAGCCTAAAAATTACTTCTATTTAAACAGACAAGAGCATCCCAGGTAAGACGACTTGGTACCTCATACCTCTCCACTACGCCCAATTAACCATTAGGCAGAAAATGCCTAAATTCTCTTTACTCAACTATTCTACGTTTGTCCTAAGCCAAAATTCTGGCACTTTGGCATACATACATCTTTTCTGAGACTAACATGCCAGCTTTCTTTTGGATAGTATCAAGATATACACATGTACGTTTGCAAAATTGAGCCTTTTTATCTCCCTCTAATACACAGAACAACCATTATTTTGCTATCCAATTCCTAAATATTAATAGACTGACGAAAATTTGTCATATGGAACTCTCAGATCTTCTTCCTGTTACATTATCTGGAACATTTCATTACAGATAAGGCAGTAATATACTCAGTTACCAATCTGTGCTTAAAAACACATTCTGCCTGGTTAGAAACTGATTTTTTTTTTTAAATTATAGTTTTATTACAGATGTCAGTAATAGAGGTGACTAAAATATTTATTCAAGTAGCCTTCTCATTTAAGTGTCCAATTATCGACTAATGCAACATCACAAAACTATAGGAAAAAAGTGTTTAAATGTTTAATTGTCTCCCATATGATGAAGAAGGATAGCAAAGTATTGCCCAAATTGCAGGCTGCAGTGAACACACAGTCAGTATCTTTGTTTGCACTGGAAATGCTGCCCTAGTTAACAGTGACTAGTTCACTGTTGGTTTCCTCATAGGGAGGAAGAAAAAGGACAGAGTTTATACATGTGTTTCATACTCATTCTTATTTTCACACTGAGATGTACTTTTATTTTATACCACTGGAAACAGTAATAGAAAGGTCACAGGAACTTGTAATGCCTTAAGATCTTGATAGGAAACCAGATGCCTTCAATCCTTACCACACAGTAAATCATCAACAGTAATTATTCCTACAACCTCACGCTCATTTCCCCATACCCCAGCCACCAGAAGCATGGATGTAAGGTCATGCCTTTTACTCATTCTCCTCCTGGAAGCTGCTGCATCCTCACTGAGAACAGGCAAAACACTAAAAGCCCGTGTTGGTGGGTCTGGGAGGAGAGCTCACTCCCGATCGTATGAAAGATGTGCCAGTATCAGCTGTCTTGTCCTCAGGGGCAACCCCACGCGGTGTCCCAGGGTCCGCTCTGCAGCAGTGAGGCTGACCACCAACCTCCCCAAGCAGCCGGAATCACTTGGCCGGTGCCTGCTCGCATGGGTAAGAGCAGATCAGACACAACCAGAAAACAACCATAAACCCAACCTGTCAGCCACTGCCTGCCCTGTACACAGTAGAACCCTGTGGCTGGTATTCTCCTCTTTCCAGGTTACAGTACCTCGGCAGTGGAGCTCAGCCCTCTATTCCACCAGACAGGATTGCTCATGGGTCCATGTTCCCATGCTATCACACCTCCCTTTGTGAAAATGGACATTATTTTTCCATGCATTTGTAATTGTAAAAGGCTTACAATTTTGGAAGGTATCTATCTAATGGTTTTAAAATAGAGGGAGGTAGACTCAGATTGGATATTAGGAAAAAATTTTTTACCATGAGAGTTGTGGAACACTGGAACAGGTTGCCCAGAGAGGTGGTGGATGCTCCATCCCTGGAGACGTTCAAGGCTAAGTTGGACGAGGCCCTGAGCAACCTGACCTAGTTGGAGATATCCCTGTTCCTTGCAGGGGGGTTGGACTAGATGACCTTTGAAGGTCCCTTCCAGCCCTAACCATTCTACGATTCTATGATTCTATGATTCTATCTGCTGTAGAAAAGCACTTCAGAGGATTTTACAACAAAAAAATAAAATAAATTCTGAGGCAGCAGAACACTTTACAAACTAATTTGCATGACATTTCTTAATGAAACACCGAGATAGACCTCACTCAGCACATGTAATTACTTTAGAAAATGAAGGAACAAATTTACCATTTCCCAGCATTTTCTCAAATTGTTTTTAAAATGAAGCCTCACACATCAACTCAAACTTAGAATTACAAATTGCTTACAAAGGTGAGAAGTTCAGATGCTTCTTACCTTTCCTTTTGTTTCTGGATTATAAAGGAGGCAAAGACTGACTGAGATAATGCAAAAATATAAAACTTTCCAAAACTTTTTATGCTTAAAGGGATCTAAATGAAGGGCTATGGAAGGGATCTAAATAATCTGAAGTTCCACGTGACTGCTGAAAATTATAACCATTTCAGGCTAGTTTATTATTGCACCTCTCTTTTCATATAGTTATTTTTTCAGCTTCCTGTCCATTAATTTTGTTACTCAGATTTCTCCACATTAGTTTATCTTTTTCAATCATTTCTGTCAAAAAAACTACGCCTTGCTACAGCAAGATTATGGCACCAATTTTTTTTTTTAAACAAATGCTAAGATTAAAATCAAACACAGAAAATTCACTTTTAAGTATAATCTCTTCTTTTAAAGTATTTTTTCCTTCTGGTAAAATATATGAGATATTATATATACACAGAGATGTTTGTTTGTTGAGTCACAAGAGTCCTATATTCTGCCTAGATGTGGTTGCCTGAAATACACATAGCAAGTAAGACATATCCAGAGCACGTCAGATGTACAGTCACTGACATATCTCACAAGCAGCAGACTCGCAAGAACTTCCTCTGTATTTCAGAAAGCTGGTGCGATCCTCCAGTTCGACCCAGACAAGATTTCTCAACAGAAAAGAGAACTAATTTTAGTTGAATTTCAGCTAATTGTAGCTGAACACACATATTTTGACAGACGTTTTTTTCAAAGCCACTTTTTGAAGATCTAACATTACAATACTTCTACTGCTATTAATTTTACTTTTTTTCTTATTCCTCCTTACTGCTTTTTAACTCTCTAAAACACCAACATAACATGACTGTGATAAAAGGACGATTTTTGCCTTGTCTGAAAACTGGTTATTTACTGAATGTGTAAATTGCTTTTCAGTTAATTAAAGTCTTTAAATCTTTTCCATTAAAATTTTATCATGATTTGTTAGATACAAGCCAAAGGGAGATCTTCTCCCTATGGCCATGCAGATTTGTATACACTGAACATCAGTGGGATTACTTAGGCGTAAAGAAGCCTATTGCTCAGTGTCAGAGCTTTGCATTTACCAAAAAAAAAAAAACACCAAACTTTCAAAGCTAAGGAAAAAAAAAAAACCACAGGTGCATGTGTGACCAAGATTGTACTATTTAATGGGCAAAAAGTTAAATAGGCATTAAACAACCAGTCAGCAAGAAACTGATACTACTGGAAAGTCACTGAAAAGTTTATTTTCTTGCTAGGGAGAAATGTTCCGGAGAACTCAAATGGGAAGGATAGATGAATTACTAAGAGAGAGGAGTAAAGGTCCTCATGCCTTTGAAGAATTGAATAGTCCCAAGGCACGTGAAAGTCAGCACAGGTTGTGGTGGATCATGCCATTCCAAAGAGGACACTGGCAACTGGAGTGCAGAACAGTGCACATCTTTCCCTTCAGGAAACCTACTGAGAGCTTTACTTGTTTGCCTTTATGCTACACTTTCCTTGAAAATAGTTTCCATTAAGGTAGTTTTCCTATGATTAGCCTACATTTTTCCCAGTACAAG